CATATGCAGAAAGGGAGAGGGGCAGGCAGCTGAGAGCCAGGGTCAAGCCTCAAGGAAAGCATGTCTCCGAATTCCCTTACTCTAGTCTACTGAGCCATCTACCAACGGAAACGGCAGAGAGGGGGCATTCAAGGGTGGGATGAAGCTGGCACTAGGAAGAAGACCCAGAGGCTTCTGGGAAGGGCCTGAGTGAGGGTGTGGCCGCTGTGACATTGGCAGTTGCCACACTAAAACTGAGGTGTGTGGGCGTGTGGGTCACCAAGAAGGGAGGACACAAAAGCAGCTCAGGTCTTGGGCCTTTCGCTCTGAGGGTATCTCCTGTATCAGACATACTTACCAGGGAACCCTCCACAGATGCGGGGGACCACCATCACCTAGACTCCAGTATGGGTCAAGTAAACGCCTAGCTCAGTGGCAGAGCAGAGCCTTCAAGCCACCCAAGGCTTCCGAAAGGGCGACTGCCCAGACAGCATGGGACAGAAAACAGACCGTGGGGCCTGGGGGTCCCCGCTGCAGCCCCGGGTGTGGTCCAGCCTGTTGCAAATGACAGTGAGCCCCCACCCCCGAAAGAGCCCTGCAGCCCAGAGGCCAGGCCACACAGAGGGGCACTGCTTGTCGCCACATCGAAACTATTTATTGAATGAGGCAGTTTCCACAGAGGGGAGAACAACACAGTCCATGCCCTGCTACTGGGGTCTCGGTTCTTTTCTTGGCAATTTCTCTAACTATTGGAAGGTTATTTCACCACAAAGGAGCACAGATCGTACAGCCCCTCTACAGCTTCACAATATGATAAAAATAATTAAAAAAATAACAAGTAGAACCAGGACGTTCAAGTGTAAATGTCCTGTTCTTCCCTTGTCACGTACAGAAAGAACATACAAAGAACATTGTCTAGTTTTCTATAAAACAAGTGAAGGTAAGAATTGGAAACGTTTCTCAAAGGCCGAGCAAGACATGAAGAGTCTTTTAATGTCTCATTAAAAAACAAAAACCAAAACACCACATTAAATACACGACCACACGAGGGGAGGAGTGGGAGGAGGAGCCCTGTACACGCTCGAGGAGCAGAGATTGGCTGGTCGAGGTCAGGCGGCCGAGGCCTCGGGGCTCACGGCTGCTCACTGCGCCAAAGGCCGCTGGCTCGCTGCCATCCATCCACCCGGAGGGCAGGGTGTTGCCCAGGCTGGCGCCGCCAGGATGGGCCTGGGGACAGTCCTGGGGCCTGGAGTAGGCCCTTCTTCCTGACACATCTGCGATGGCCAGCCTTCTCCGGGCACAGGTCCGTGTGTGGCAGTCTCTTGTTTACGTGCAGCTAAACATGACTGGAGAACATGGTCCCCACAGGCGCACCTGCTCGGGCAAGTTTTCTCCCTCCTTCCTGCTCTCCTACACTGTTCCCGCTCTCTCCCCATCTCACACAAGTGCGAGCACACACACACACATACACGCACGCACCCACTCACACCCGCCTGCTCAGTCCCTCAACACTACTGTTACCCTCAGTTCGTAACAGGGCCGACTCAGGGCTGACCTCACAGCCAGAGCGAGGTTTGTGTGAGCCGGAGGTCCGGGAGGGAGGAGCGGAGGCCGGGAAGGTCAGGCCCCTGCCAGGAGCCCGCAGGGCAGTGCCTGCGGCAAGGGCAGCACCGGGAGCCTGGACAGTGCCCTGCTGGCGAGGGCCGCTCGCTCTGGACGCTCCGGCGCCTTCCCGCGGCGTCTGCGGAGCTCTGCGGCCGAGGCAGCTCTGGTGAAGGGCCGGGCGCCTCTGCTGGGCTCTCAGTAGCTCAATGCACGACCCTGCTGCGAAGGAAACCCGGTGACTGTGTCTGGCCGTGCACCCTCCAACACGGGCCTGGGTGGGTTACCAGTTCACCTCGATTTCAACAGATAACTCCATGCGGGGTTCATACGTATGTCTGTACATATATACTCTATACATATATGTAAATGTGTATGTCCATATGTACACATGTACGTACATCCACACTCACACCTGCACACACGGAAGTACACACACATTTCCGCACAAAGAAGTCCGGCCACATTTGGCTTTTTGGGACAGTGAAGTCGGTGTTGTTCCACTCCACCAGATGGGTGCTTTAAAAAAGGTGATTCCAAAACCTGCTGCCTTTTCCTTCTTAAAAAAGGGTACCAAAACGTTTCTTCCAAGTCCAGAGACTTGATTCCATTTGATTGCACCTCTGCAAACGTGTATAAAATCCTGAAGTAGACTAGAAAATGACGCCATGATAGCCCTCTGTGTCACTGCTCCAGTGTCACCACCTCCACAGCCTGGCCGTCCATGGTGACCGCGCTGTCCGCTATCCGAGTGGTCACGGGGGCCATGGCCACCTGCACGGGCCCGTTGCCCTGGGCGAGGCTGGTTACCACAGTCTGGTACATGCTCACAGGGATCTGGACCAGGCCTGGAGAGAGAAAGCAAGGCTGTGGGCGGGCCGCTCTCGGGACCGCGGGGCTGGCTGGGGTGGCCGGCTCTGGGGCTCTGGTTCATCTCGGCCTGCCAGCCCCAGGTCAGCCACTTACCTGCCTCCAGGCACAACCAGCCTCAGCTTCTCTCTCCCTTCCCTTTCTTTCCTTCTGTTAGAGGCAAGGTCTTGTTGTGTAGCCCAGGCTGGTCTTGAACTCTTGATCCTATTGCCTCAGCCTCCCAAGTGCTCAGATTGTAAGTGTGTGCCATGGCAGCTGGCAGTAAATCTCACTCCTCAGCCTCAGGAAAGAGCTGTGGGGACACTGTGGACAGCCTCCCTCTTTGTGAGGCCCAGCCCACAGGTGAGTCCTCTCTCACCCTGCAGCAGCCCCCTTCCAGCAACGGCTCGCCTGGTCTGCTCTGCTGGCTGTGCGGCTCTCTCTGAGAAACAACCAAACCCACATTCCTGTGTCCTGGCCCTGCTGTCTGGCCACTGGCCCTTCTACGGCTTTTACCTCCAGAGCCAAGCTTATAAAGACACCAAACCAAACTGGCCCATTTGTCTCCTAATTTTAGAATTTCACAAACTGGTACAATTTTCTAATTAAAAAAGGTTTAGAATGAACTAAAAAGCAACAACAAAACCAACACACCCCGACTGTCTCTCAACACCGTTATTAGTCAGAGCAGAACCACGAGAAGAAGGGGGCGGCCTGGAGTCTCAGAGAGGGTGACCGTTTCCAGTTAACGTGGGCCAAACAACTGAGTGCGTCGGCCTCGTTTCCCACTGGAAGAAGGATTACGGTGGACAGGGAAGGGCTGGCTTTGCAGGCCACAAAGGAAAGGAATGGTCTGATGGTCAGTGCGGGCAGCTGTGGCCCCTGCCAGCACGGACTCAGGCTGTGGAGGCCCAGACCCTCCAGGAAGACGGAGACAGCTGCTCTCAAGAACTGGTGGAAAATCGGTGTTTAACTGCCTGGGTCCGTAGGCAGGTACCCCAAACCCTAAAACACAGACCACTATGACAGAAGATCTGAGAGCATGCCTATCGTGAGATCAGGTGAGCGGAGGGGCCTGTTGTAGTCAGCTAGCTCTGCCCTATACAGCCTGTGAAGCAGCATTCTGATGGGGCACACCTAAAGGGCACAGAGCTACACAATGACAACAAGAACAACTTAGGGAGGAAACAGAACAAATGCCGTCAAAGTTCGTTTGGTGCCCTCAAATTACTGTCTTAGAATGGGAGAACACACACACACACACACACACACACATACACACACACAACATACACTCAACCCTACACACCTATATTGGGAATCTGAGACAGGAAGGTCACCTGAGCTCAGGCGTTCCAGGCTAGCCTAAGCAACGGCACAGGGGCCTCCTTTACAGAGATAGGACACATAGACCTGGGAGGGCGTAGCTCAGCGAAGACTTGTCTGGCACGTGAGAGATTCTACGTTAGATTCCTAACACCACAAACAACAGCAGCCACCCAGACCAACCGACCAATCAGACCTCAAACCCCCAAACCTGTGATGGGGTTGTGTTTGTAGTACTAGCTCTCAGAAGGCCAAGACAGGAGAATGGTGAGTGGGAAACCAGTCTGCACTACACAGTGAGAGCCTGTCCCACAAAAACAACGGCCGCAACAACCAAAACCTCAGACAACTCCAAAGTCTTACAACCAACTAGAAAAAATATACAAGAGTAATTTAAAAATAAAAAGTTCAATAAATAAAACATATTACAAAGTTTATATGATAACCAAGAAAATTTCCAGAGACTAGAAAAAATTACAGACTAGAGAAATTAAGATACACAAGCCAACTTCTATTACTGAAAAATGAGTTTGGCATGGAAAGGCCACTTGATGTGCCTGGCACAAGAGACAGCAAAGGATCTAGACACCCAGACACATCTCCAAGCACAAGGGAGACAGCAAAACCCCAAATGATTCTAGGCAGAATGAAGCAAGGGTCAGAGTTCATGCAAAAAAACTGGACACAAAAACAATAACGGACATCATGGCAAACCTAGAAGCTAAAATGATGAAGCCATGCCTTCAAGAATTTTGGTTCAAACATCCAGAATCACTTTCAGCCTAAAGTTCTATACCCAGCTAAAATGATCTGTATGAAGTCCGCACAATACAGCTTCAGCCACGACTAAAGACTCTGGCTGCCTACAGACACTTTCTTAGGAAGCTTGGAAAATGTGTTCATATTAGCACAGAAACCTCAGAGGACAGTCACATGGGCTCCGGAGACCCTGAAAGGGGCAAATGGGAGTGAGGCAAGGGGCAGGGCTGGGCCTGAGCACCAGAAGCTACCAGAAGGATTAAAGCCAGGCACAACTGGTTAGAATGAACTAAAAAGCAACAACAAAACCAACACACCCTGACTGTCTCTCAACACCGTTATTAGTCAGAGCAGAACTATCATATGAAGGGGGCGGCCTGGAGTCTCAGAGAGGGTGACCGTTTCCAGTTAACGTGGGCCAAACAACTGAGTGCATTGGCCTCGTTTTCCCTGTTGGCAGTAGGGTTCCGGTGGACAGGGAAGGGCTTTTCAGTTAATCTAACACCTGTTGAGGCTGCAGGCCCAGAGTCATCTCAGAGGGTCAACAGGCAGACTACAGAACAAGCCAGGGGCAGCCCAAGCTACTCAGGGAAACCCCTTCTTCCTGGAAATAAGTAGACACCCTCCTCTACTAGACCAGGCAAGCACTACAAAAGGACAAAATCAAATACACTAACACATCTGTTTTGACAGTGGACAATTTTTATGTGGTTATACACAAACACAGATACCAAATCATCCACGAATTATGGTACTGCCCTTTTACAGTCACTTTCTTTTAAGGGGGTGGCATTCCAAATTTTAAATACAGTAGTGGAAGCACTGTAGGTACAGGACAGCATGGTATTTTTGCTTCTGGGCATAGTCTATCTTCAAATGCCCAGGCTGGCTATCTGTCTACCCAGCAGCTCAACCTGCCGCCTGCCACAAGAGTGGTCACAGATCTGAGTCCTCCCTATCCCAGCTCTGTGAGACTCTCCATGGTACCATCCTTGGGTTGGCTTCATCAGCCGTGACAGTGCGAGTGGAGGCAACCCAGGCCTGAGGGCTGCCAGGGAGTCCTCGAGACTAAAAATGAATCTGAAAGAGAGATGTCAGGCTGCGCCTGGGAAGCAAAGGTGGGCAGACATCTGTGAGTTGGAGGCAAGCCTGACCTACACAGTGAGTTCTAGGCTAGCCAAGGCAAATAATGAGGCCTTATCTTAACAGGAAAGAAGCCTGATAACCTGAGCTCAAGCCTGGGACCCACATGATGGAGAGCAGGGACTCCCAAGCTGTCCCAAGCTGTCTTCTGACCATCACACACACTTGATAGCATGCATATGTGTGTGCCTGCCCAAGTGGGAAAAAAAAAAAATCCAAACCAAAGGAAATTAATGCAAAAGAAAATCTTATTCCACAGTTTTTCGTGTATTTCCTAGGAGATCCGTTTGGTCAATTTCTGGATAGACATTTGATGGGACATGCAGCAGGGCCTGAGAGTCTTGTTTTACTGACTCCCATTTTTGAAGCTCCACTTGTAAGGGTGTGTTAACAAAACAAAGGCAAGGTCAGCGCAGCCTCCTGAGAGGCAGGCTGAGCAGAGCTCTGTGTGTGACGGGGAGAAGCTGGCAACGGCTGGGAAGGAACAAGCCGTGGCTTCGGGTGGAAGCGGTCCTGCTTCTTCTAAACCATTGCAAAGGGCTTTTAAATGCCGAGTCAATTCCTTCCACTCAGCCTCCCTTGTCGCAGGAATTATTTTTCATTTAGACTATGCTGCTTAGCTCAGAGTTTCACACTTAGACACCATGATCAATAATGTACCCCAAACCTAAAGCACAGCTAAGACGCTCTGCCATGGCGCTCAAGGGTCTCACGATTTGCTCTCGTCTATTTTCTTGTTCTGGAGCATAAACTGGTTCTGAACCTTGGCTCTTTGTGCCAAGTGCTAGGAATACAGGCAGCACCCACTGCGCGCCAGCTTGCAGAGGCCGGATGTGCGTGCTACTCCGCTCTGGCACAGCCATGCCTGCCACACCTTGGCTTCCGTGCCAGCCATCCCGGACCCCTTCTCTCCCTCCAGTGCTTCGGGTCCTCTTCCCTGGCACCATGTGCTGCCCAGCCCTCTAAGAGCGGCCCGACACAGCACTGCCCGCATGCCTGGCCTCCAGCCCAGCTGCACAGTGCTTAGGAAGGGCCACACCTGTCACTGGGGGCCTAACAGTAAACAGTGCTCAGCATGTCTCCCACACTTACAAATGAAAACTCAAGAGTACAGTCACTGCTAAATGTTCAAGCGTGTGACCTCAGCAGTCAGGAAGGCCTGGAGTCCAAGGCCAGCATGGGATAAACAGTGACACATTTTCTCCTAAAATAAAAACAAAGTAAAACTATCACACCCAAGACTTATCCGAATAAAATAATTTTGTACAGACTGCATTTGGTGGATTTCATATAACTCAGGGAAGGAGCCAATTTGGCCTCCACAACTGAGCATGAAACGAGTTCCACAGAAAGCTGCTTTAACTAAAAGGTGAGTTTAGGGCTTTTTGAGAGTTTAGGGCAACTCCACACGCAGGTCAGCGCACAGCCCCCGTCAAGCCCAACCCACCCTTTCCTACACGAACACTCAGTCCACGTCCACCCAACATAAAGCTGCCAGCACCTTTCTGTGAGATGTCAAGATCGCTGCCCCACACACACATGCAGGCATTCCGACATGGGATTAGGTTAAATCTCCTCAGTGTCTCTGACCCAGCAGCCCTGATGTCCACAGAGTGGGGGAGGGACCCAGGCTTTGAAACCCAGGGCACATGAAGTGGGGCGCTGCCCTTGGAGGAGAGGTGATTACATGCGGAGGCGCAGTAATCACGCTGGGGCTGGCCTGCATCTGCTCAGCCTGCCCTGATTAGCCCTAATCTAGAGGCACATGCTA